GTGGTACTGTTAAATTTCATTTAATATTTTTGGCATATTCCAAATTATTGAAACAATTTTTAATCCTGATTTTTTCCCCAGCCTTGGTCTAAAATTTGATGAGATGTCTGGATTTTTATTCACCTAAATTATTTTTAAAAAGAATAAGGACAGAGAACTGAAGCATTTTATTAGAAAATTGCTTTGAGTCTGATATTGTCAGATTAAAATTGGGCCACTGTTGTTTAATCTTCTATGAATCCACTGAAATGTGATATTCTGCAGTCTAGATTTCTTCATTTTTCCCATAAACAAATCATAAAATAATTTGTCTGATGCCTACTACAGTCAAGGTTCTGTGTACAATTTCCTACAATAGTCTCCATATTTATTTACACTCGTAACTGTGAAAAATTATTCCTTTGGTGTGATTATTCATCTGAACCAATATGAGCTCTTAGTACTCACCTCTTTTTGTTTTAATTTAATGATCGGGTCCAGAACTTTGCTAGAAATCAACACCATACCTTTCAGTCTCTAGATTTGTTTTATCAGTCTTTCTCCCCTGTTTGGAATGGGTCCCTCACTCGTTAAAGTCTTCTAGCATAACTTTGTGGAGATCACCGCATATGTTTCTGAGATCATATCTGAATATCCTTGTGTTAATTCTCTGGGCAGTAATTTCTCTTGAGCTGGTAACTTGAACTAATTTAAATTGTTGAGTGCTCTTTCCCTAACTTTTCTTCCTATCCTGAGTTCAGTTTCCCTGTTTGTGATGTTCTAACCCACAAACGGAAGCGCTTTCTCTATGATGAAGATGAAGTAAAACAGGAAACTGGTAGTTTTCCTTTTCCCCAGCCATCTCTTAACATTCCATATACTCAGCTCCCTTTTTATTCTTCTTCTTGATCCACATCTGGATTTACATTAACCTTTTTCTGTCTTTAGCATTTAAGCCCCAATCATTCTAGGTTTTAGTCTCCCTTGCCTCTCCTCAAAGGCCCAAGTTAACCTTTTGGAAATTCCCTATCACCTAACATCTTCTATCGAGGCGCCTGAAAATCTGGGCTTATCAGAGTGCTACCTGTGCAGTCATGCTGCTTTCCAAAGTCTTCCCTTTCCTTCCTGGATACTCCCTGGCCTAGCGCCATGCTCATCTGGCATTTTCAACAAATGAATCAACACAGTAAGAATTACAGTTTTAAAAGTCCTTTATTATTGAGTCCTTTCTGTGATTATATACTACATTTTGACATATGCTGGCTTGTTGTCTCGTGATATATTCTTATTACTTAACTCTTTCATTGATGTTCTTTTTTTCAGGTGTAGACACCTCATCCTGTAATTTAGACTGTTCTCCTTGAAGGAAGGAGTTGAATTGTATCTCCCACAGCTTGAGTCTTGAGATGCTCAATAAATATTTAACTCATAAATAAATGAGGAAGCAATATTTTGAGTCATTTGGAAATATGTTTTTTGGCCTAAAATTGTTAATATTTATAGATTTCTGGGCATAAGCTTTTTTACAGTGAAAATTTGTCATATTTTTCTGTTTAATTCCATTGCTTGTTATGGCAGCAGCTAGCTTAGTGGTTAGAACATACATTTTGTGTTCAGAGATATGCAACTTTGTTTGGATTCTGGCAATATTGCTGACTGTGGACCTTGGTTATGTTATTTAACCTCTCTGAGCCTCAAAAATTTCCTTATCCATAAAATGGGGCTAATAATAGACACCCCCCACCCCACGCATTGAGAGGATTCAATGAGATATCATGTGTGTAAGGCACTGAGCAAAAGGTGAGGCACACAGGTAAAGCTCAACCCATGGACTAATTAAAATTTGCCCATTCTGTACCACACAGAATACTGTTCCCTGGGGAGATGGAGTTGGAAAAGGAGTTCACAACCTGGTGGAGTGGAGGGTCACCTAAATGAATAAATATATCTTCATGTACAATGTGCTACAGGGGTTTGGAAGATAGAACAATTAATTTTGCCTGGATAATCAGGGCGGGCTGCAGCAAGGTGGTGAAACCTGAGTTGCAGATTGCGCAGGGGCTCAGTGGTCAGCTTGCAGTTACCACATAGTAAATGCCTGGGGAATGGATCATGCTCATAAGCCCAGGGGTGCTGCCCCGCTGGCATCTGTGTACACATGGTATCTTGTGTTTTTCATTTTTCTCTTGCACACATTTCCATGTGCTTACATGGCCTTTGTGTGATTCCATCATAGTTTGTACATGATTCCCTGATCGAATAGTTTCTAATATTTTCTTATTATAAAATAGACTCTAAGTCCTTGAAGGCAAGTGTGTTTTTGTTCATTCAGAGGGTACCTAGCATGTAGCAGGTTCTCAGTGATATTTGATGAATGAGTGAATGAGTGAATGAATGAACGAATGAACTCCTCTGGCTATTGGCCCCGCCATAAGCTGGCTATGGGATCTTGAGTGAGTCAGTTAACTCCTCTGTGCCTCAGTGCTTTCGTCTGCAAAGAGGGTTAGTACCTAGGGTGGTTGTTAGAACTAAGTGGTTTGACGCCCAGCGCCTGCAGGTAACAAGTGTGCATTAAACAGTGACCACTGTACCTACCATTCAGCTCTGACGGATGTGCTGCTGAGTCATCTACAGACTTCGTAGCTGGTGAAGCCTGGGGCATTCTGCTGCAGCTGTTGGCAGAGGAGAGCCTTCAAAAATCTTTCCTAATGCTGAAGTGACACCTGCCAGCTGATAAGGAGTTTCTATCTGGAATAACTGAAGGTGCTATCTAGAAAGTAGGAGGCCCCTAGGGCTCCCACCTACCCCTGATTCTCCAGTGACAGCACGCAGAGGTATGGCTGACTCAGGGAGGTGAGTTCCCTCATCAGCTCCCGCCTCGTTGGCTTCACTGTAAAACTGGGGCTAATAAAGCTTCTCTCCTGTCAGTCATAAGGTGGAGAAACATGACTCCCAGCTGGGGCTCAACTAGGTATATCTAATATTAAACTCTGAGGGAAAGAACAAAACAAAAAAACCTCTGGATATAGAAACTCCAGACCCTTGGAGGCCCCTGGTGTCATGGGCTATGAGTTAAAGACAAACAAACAAACAATACCCATTTTTAAGGTTTTAGAAAGGGAAAATTAAAAAACTGAAAAGGCGATTGTTTTCAAGTTTTCAGATACATCAGGTAAAGTTTCTCAATGGCTTCTGGGCTGGGGCCTTTCAGGAAGTCATTCATGGCTTTCATGTTTATTCATTACGCATCCCCTCAACACCTGTTTGGGGAATACTCCCTGAGCCCAGGATTGCAGTGGCTGGTGGGGATTAAAGGGCAGGTCAGTCTTACTTCTTGCTGCTTCTCTGGGCCTGCTCTGGGGATGTTGGTGGATGGTTGATTTGGACAGTTTCAAGTTTGGCAGTGAGCAGTGATAAGGCCAAAGAGGTAGGACTGAGCAACACACCCTCTGATGAGTACATTGACACTGAAACTCTGGGAACAGTTCCCTGGAGCGAGTCAAATGCAGCCCTTAAAGTCTGAGTGATGAGGTGGCCAACAACTCTGAGGAAGACACTTTAGCCCAAGACAGGGAGATTGTCCTGAACTCTGGATGAGTTTCAGCAGCTGACAGAGGCAGGTCTTACAGGCATGGGTGGTCACAGAGATGCCCCTTTGCCACATCTCTGGGGCTCTTTGTCTTTGTCCCATTCTTAAAACCTAAGACCTGCCCAACTGAGCCAGCCTTCACCAGCCTGGATGGCTTGGTGGGCACAGACCCTGAGGCTGCCTTTTGAATTTAAATGGCCAAGACAGTCCTGCTGGGCAACTGTCCCACCAATATCTGAAGCGGGAGGCAGAGAAGCAAGCCAAGGACTCAGTGGAGCAGGAAGACCTGGGTGCCATGAAGGCAGGGCCCTGCTGTCTTTTTGCTCGTCACTACATAGAGCCAGCACACAGTAGGTGTACATTAAATATTTGTTAAATGAATTAGTAAATGCTTTGATGGAAGAAGCCACAGTGCAGTGTGAGCCCAAAGGGGGCTTAGGAAGAGCTTCCTGAAGGAATTGACATCTAAATTGAGACATGGAAAACAAGAAGGATTAGCCAGGCCCAGGTGAGGTGTAATTGTCCCTAAAAGGAAGAAACAACCATAGTGGGGATTTAACCAGTGGGGGCTGAAGTCCTCTCCAGTTGCCCATTCCCCCCCCCCCCCCCCCCCCATTGTATCTGTGCACTTGGCTTGAATAGTTCAGGAATTTTTGTTGTTATTCTGTTTTCTTCCCCCCACCTTTTATTTATTTGTGTGTTTACTTATTTATTAATTTTCATAGCTTTGGAGTCAGATGTTCCTGGGTTGGAATTCCTAGTTCTGTCCTTTACAAGATGACCCCTGGGCCAGCCCCTCACCTCTCTGAGCCCCGGTTTCTTCTGAGAAAGGAAGCCAACCACAGTGCCTCCCCTTATAGGATTAAATGAGACAACCGATGTAAAGTAGTGTTGTTTTGCTTGCCTGTGAACCCGTGTCTGTCCCGCTCTTTCTCCTCCAGCCCTGTCGGGGCAGAGATACCGCCTGAGTCATTTCGGTGGATGCAATGCGCAGCAGCGCCAGGCACACAGTAGGTGCTCAGTAAAGGGAACAATGCCCCAGTGAATTCTGGCCTGTACTGTGGAATTGTGGCTCCTGGGGTTCCAATGCCCTCCCCCAACACTCAGCCCCACTGTGAGCTCTCTGCGTGCAGGGGCGGCGACCCGGAACGCAGTAGGAGCTCGTGCTCCGACCTTGGCCCTTGGGTTCTTGGAGACAGGTTGCTGGGGTCGGGTTGCGCAGGATACTAACTTTACCTCCGGGTTTAACGCTGTGAGCCGGCACGCGGAGGAGCTGGGGGTTAGCGCCTCGGGGTCCCCAAAACAGAATGTGGCGGTCTGGAGACAGCGCGGGGGGCCGGCTTTTCTGTCGGAGGACGCGGGCCGGCGCGCTGCACCTTTAAGGAGTCGAGCCGGGCAGGGCGCCGGCGCTGAGAGCTGCGCGGCCACTGGCGCTGCGGCCGCGCGGAGCCGCGGGCTGGAAGCTGAGGCCCGGGGTCGGGGTCGGGCGGCGGGACCCCGGTAGCTGAGACCGCACAGGTGAGCGGAGGCGGGGCGGGGTGATGTGCATCTCGGAGGGGGGTCCGGGGCACCCCCGATGGCTCCATGCCGGACCCTTCACTTCTCGAGTCCGGGCTGCCGGTCCTGCTCGACTAGCGGCACCGGCTGAAGACTGGTCCTGGGACCTGAGCCTCCCTTTCTGCTCAGTCTTCCCGCTCCGGCACCAGCCGTCCCTTCCTGTGCCTGGATAGGTCTGAGATGACCAAACCCCGGTCCCCCCACTTCCCTGGCCCGGCTCCCAGCCTCCTTAAGCCCGGGGGCAGGATGCGGGCGGGTTGGGCATCCCCTGTACCCCCATTTTGCTCCGCCTCCGCACCCCCCGCGCCCGCACCAGCCCCTGTGTGCCCCTCCCAGTTGCCTGGGTGGTCTGGGGGCTCCTGCACTCCCGTTTCCTGGAGAAGGGCTGCAGCTCGCCCTCCCAGACGACATCACGCTTCATGTCACCTCCCCCGCATCGTCCCCGGCGCCTGCACCCCGCGAGATCTCTCCCCGCTAATATCTCCCTCCAGCAGCCTTTCAGCTCCCTTATCTCAGCCTGCCCCAATTCTCTCGCCTGTGCGCCTCCTCCCCCAAACCCTTGAGTCAGGATGCTGGTCCAACCACCGGACAGCGCGGTGCCCGCGGGCGAGCTGGGCATCCCCGCCTACGCTGCCCACGCGGGCTTCCCGGCTGCCTGGAAATGCGGGTTGTGTAAGGCCGGCTTGGGGCAGAGCGTGTGCAGACGGTGGAGGAGGCCGAGCTGACACTGAGGCGTGCGGGGAGGAAGAGGGTGCCAGAGGGTCTAGAGGCCGCGCATCCGGGGAATATGTAGTTTGAGCCCTTTTATGCCCCCAGAGCTCGGGGGTTAAGAGGAAATGGAGGAGGGTCCTGCCACAGCGGGGACCTGGAGGCCAGCGTTTACCTCACCCCTTCACCTGCTCAGAAATCCCTTAAGTCTGGCTCCACCTGGCTGGGAGCTGAAAATAGTTGACAATTAATAATAGCTTACACAGACTAAGCAAGTACAGGGTGTCAGGCCATGTCCTAAGCCCCTTAAAAAGATTACTGGCCTTTCTCCCTCCAACAGCCTTATGAGGTAGGTATCACTGTTGTGCCCATTTCTCAGAGGAGGAATGTGAGGCTGGAGGAGGTGGTCCCTTCCCAGGACACAGTGAGTCTGACCTCAGTTCCCTCACTCTGAATCACTAGACTTTTTATCCCATTTTAAGTAATAAATTCTTATCAACAACATTCTTATAATGTAGGAAACTAGAAATAAGAGAAGTTAATAACCAGTGTTTTTACAATTAAGTTTTTTCTACAATTAAGTTCTCAGACCAACAAGGGGTCCTCAGTGCCCTCCTCAGGAAACTGAGGCCCAGAGGGGAGAAGGGAATTGCTTGAGCTAGAAAGTGCCAGGGGTGCGATGCAAAATGGGTCCTGGGATGGCTCATTGGGCACTTCCTGGCTTTAGTTTAGGCTCCTTCCCCACTGTGCGTCCTCACACACACACACACACACACACACACACACACACACACACACACACACACACCCCTACACACCTACATGCACAGCTGCCTTTGCAAGTGAACATCTTCCCCACTGCTGCCTTTACTTAGGCTGTTTCCTCTTCTGGGGATGTCCTCCCTGGAATCTCTGATGTCTAAATCTTACCTCCCCTAGTGTCCAGCTCAGCTGCTCTCTCCAGGAACACACTCTTCTTATGTCTCCCCTGCCCCCAACTGAAAGCCTTTCTTTTCACCCCTAGGACCCTGTTGCTGGGATCCCACCCATGTGGTGGCATTTGGAAAGTTCTATTGCATGTGTCTGTCTTGTTCTCTTGGGTGAAGTTGTGTTGGCAGGACTAGAAATGCTCCCCAAGGCCCCTCTTTCCACCTGCCTGATTAAGCTGTAGGACAGAGAGAGAGGTCCATGGGTGATGTGGTGGTTTCTGAAGTAAAAATAGGCTCAGGATTTCCAAACCCTGCAACCCAAGACTCCCTCATTGGGCTGCAGCCTGATCACAGGGAGAATGGCTCAGGCTGGTACCTAACATTGTAACTGCTTGTTTGTTTTTGTTCATAACCCAGAGAATTCTCACCAGAAAATCAGACAGACTTGGGTACAAATCACACTTCTACCAGTTACTTGCTGTCTGTAGCTACAGGCAAGTTACCTAGCCTCTCTGGTAATAGCACCTGCTTCAGAGGGCAGCGGTAATCCTTAGGTAGAAAAAAGTGTAGAGCCTGGCATATGTAAGCACCAGCTGTTATTGTGAAGAGTGAGTGATAGTTGACCACTACTATGAACTACTGGAGAAATATGAAATAATTAAATGGCTCACATTGACTTCTGCTTATCAGTGTGCAACGGGAGTTTGGGCCAAGTAGAGGTATTTTTGTGCTCGGAAAGGCTTGTGAGCCTTTCTTAAACTCTAAAGCATCCTTTGTCTCTGCAGTAAGAGACAGAATTGCCCTTGTGTTTTTAAGCTTTTAAAATGTATGAGATTTGAGTTCTGTGAGGATCCACATACCTAGAATGAATGTGGGAATGCAGGTTGTGTAATTGGAAGAAATTATGAAACTTGATAATGAGAACAAACTTGTCCTTAGAGGTGACCTTGGTTTGTAGTGTATGTTGGTTCAGGCCAAACTGAGGGCAAGAGGTTAGAATCAGTTTATCTTCGGGTTTGGAGGAAAGAAAAGCAAGGGTTTTTCCTAATAGGCTAGCAAGCAGCTAAGAGTGGAAATCAGCTTCTCTATATCATGTTCTTTACCAAACTCTTGGTTCTTTTGGTGACTAGATCAATTATTACAGTGATGAGTGTTCAAAAGAAAAAGGGCAGGGATGTTCCCCTCAAAGTGTTTGGAATATGCCAGGAAGCTAGCTCTATAAATTGAAAAAATTTTATTTAAAAATTTCTCCTACATTGAGTCTTAATTAGAATAAATTAGGATCTGATTTGGTAATTTAAAGTTTGTTGAGTTTAGATATTTTAAGATACAAGTTTTTGTAAATTTCACATTTCTGTAGAATTTAGCAGGCTATGACTTTTCTTAATTTCTGTGAGACTCTGTAGACAAAAAAATACATTTTGTGCTTTCCAGTATGGTGATGACTAGACACACCTGGCTATTTGAATTCAAATTAATTCAAATTAAATAAAATTCAGCATTCAGTTCTTCACATTTCAAGTGCTCAATAGCCATACATGGTCAGCAGCTACTGTGTTGGATGGTCAGAGCAGATAGAGAACATTTCCACCTTTATAGAAAGCTCTGTGCACAGCACTGTTTAGATCAGTAAGGCCATGGGAAAGCCGCTTAAGTTCCATTCTTTCTGTCATCTGCAGGCCAAGAAAGGAGTATGCAGAGGATATTCCCTTGGCAAGAATGGGGAAGTTACTTTCAGCTGTCTGATTCGCTGGCTTTTTACACTGCCTGAGTCAGAGGATGGGGGGGAAGGTGGAATCCAGTGAAATGTCTCAGGGCAGGGCTTTTTCACCCTAACTTCAAGTTAGAACCCCCTAGGGAACTTAAAAAAATGCCCCAGATCTGTTGAATCTGAATCTCCAGGGTTTGGGCCCAGGAAGTATTTTTTTACAAGCTAAATGGGCAGCCAGAGGTGAGAACAACTGCCTTCAAAACTGTGAACTTAAACAGACAAACAAAACTCCCTGAGGATTGGAAGAGAGTGTTTCAAAGTAGATTGAGTGGGTGGCTTAAAATGTTCCTTATTGATTTATCACAGTAATAAGACAAGGGTTGGAGTTGAGTGGGCTCACATCTTCTAGAATTCTCAGCTAGGGGCAGCTTCGTCCCCCAGGGGAAATTTTTCAGCATCTGGAGACAGTTTTGGTTGTCACAACTTGTGGGTAGCATCCAGTGGGTAGAGATCAAGGCTGCTGCTACACATCCTACAATGCACAGGATGGTCCCCACAGCAAAGAATTATATGGCCCCCAATGTCACTTGTGCCATGGTTGAGAAACCCTGATCTGAACATGATTTTCACAATATTAAAGTATTTTCTGACCTTGGATGTAGTTGCCTCTTCAAAGAAAATCAAGGTGTTCTCCTAAACCAGACCTTGAGAAACCCTCTGGATTGTATTCCAGGCCTCCCGATTCCATGTTGCTGCCTGTGGTTGCATGTGTTTGGGGTTTGTCCTAGGCTCCGGCGATGCACTCCAGTGCTGCACCAATGAAACTGCTGATTCAGGGGAGCAGGACAGCATGCAGGAAGGTGTGGGCAGAGGTTCTTGCCCTGCTGCAGCCTGGGATCCTCTTCTTGTTAAGTCATTATCTAAAATAACAGCAGCCTTTGCTCCTAGGCAGTTTTCCAGAGGCTGTGGCTATTTGGCTGTTGGCCTTCGGTATTTGCCTTGTGATATACCTAGAATAGGACTCCAACTTTACAATGTGATGAAGTTTGGGGACTGAGCTATAGCTAGACTCTGAGAGTGTAAAGTGTGAGACCCTGCCTACAGACTGCTCAAACATGTGAAAAGACCCCAGGCAGTGGCAAGGCTGCCTAACTCTGCATGGGAGATAGGTCAGGAAAGATCTTCCCGGCTGTGCAGAGTGAGCACTTAGTATCTGCCAGTCACTGTGTTGAACAGTTTCTTTGTATCATCTCATTTTGTCCCCACAGTGAGGTTCTAAGAGGTTGCAACTTGCCAAGCTCACATGGCAGAGCAGAGATTTGAAGTTATTGAACTGCAAAATCAAACCCTCAGAGGAGCATTTACAGTTAGGGGTAATGCTTTAATAGCCAAGACTTGTAGGATGAGGTGGAGCTCACCAGGCAAGAGGGAGAATAGGTGTGCCAGGGAGAGGGAAATACATGTGCTAAAGCCATGGAAGTGTGGAAGAGCATGACATATCTGAGAACTGGAAATTGCAGAGCATTCAGAGCATTCAGGGAAAGAGTGTGTGTGTGTGTGTGTGTGTGAGGGGGGGGGTGATAGAAGATGACAGTTGAGAGATAGATAAGCACCAAATCTTAACTGACCTACCATGTCATGCTGTGAGCCACTGGTGGGTTGGGGCAGAGAGAAAGAGAAAGCTCTGTGACATTTGGCAGCTTGTGTAACCTCTGGGTCACAGCTGTCTGACTAGACTGAATCCTCTAAAATGATACTGTTCTCATGAGGAATGTTCATTCTGTGGGTGGCCATAATGACGAGAATGAAGCCCTGGCCTGCATTGACACTGGTGGGACAGCTCTGTTGATTCATGACTTCTCCACCCAAGGCAGTACAATGGCTGCAGGGACTTGCTGCTTCTCAGCCTGAGCAGTTGTTGTATTTTGACTTTCCAGATTATCGTTTGGTTTTTACCAAGTGCCGGCCAAGTGCAAGGCATGGTGGGTGCTAAGTGCTGTGCACAGATGCAAAGATATGGTCAGACTTGTCCTCGAGGAGCTTGCTGCCTAGCAGAGGATGCAGCCTACGTTCTCACCACGAGGTGCGGATCACAGATGCCTTGAAAGGGAAGCGCTCACATGAAATACTCCAGAATGTGGATGCAGGATGTACCGGGGGCAGAGGGAAGGTTAATGAAGAAGATAGCTTCTAGCTGTGCCAAAAGGGGTTTTAAAGGAGAAGATGGGGGTAGGGAGAGGCGTCTTGCAGATAGAAAGATTGGGGAAAATGGAGAAAAAGGGAAAGCCAATTCAGGTCCAGTCACGAGAAGGTCAGATTATTAGCGTATCTAGTATCTGGTTCCCCACAGTTCCTGGGTTGTAGATGGGAAGCAGGCGTCATCATGACAGGAAAATATTCATTCATAGACTTGCCACTGCTCCATCATCCCTCCCTCTGTTTTCAACCCTGGTAGCCAGCCAGGCTCCAGGAGTGCCCATAGCTTGTTCATCTATCTCTCCCAGGTTGTAGGATGTTTGGCAAATACAAGAAAAACAGTGGAAAGTAAAACTGCTACTCTCTTGCAAGAGAGGCAGGACTTCGTGGAATCAAAGCAAGTGGTGTTGGAGACGTGAATGAATGACATGTCAAGGCAGTATGGGATCTGGCAATATGAGAGCTGTCAACAACTGATGAAGAGAAGGGATGAACACCCCTTCAGGGAGAGAGACTTGAAAATCAAAGAATTGAGAGGCCCTTGAGAAACCAATGAAGCCATAGATGTGAGATGTCATATCTTTATGATAGTGCCATGATGACCAAATGTTAACTGGAAGGACTTATATATTATAAAACAGTTGACATGAGATTTATCCTTTGTCCTAAGAATTAGCACAGGACTGTAATTATAGCCTAAATTTTGTTTAGTACTTACTATTGCTTTTTAAATAGACAGATTTTGATTTTTGTTTTATTTGGATAAAGTCCCAAACAAAACTGTGTTTCACTCTTAACTATGAAATTTTGGGTGTGGCTTTACATGTCCCTTTTTTCTGGTGCTCATTTTGCTGGGTTACTAAGATCTCCTCTGGGGAGAAGATTATGGCTAGAAAGAAGGTGGGTCCAGCTCACAAAGGACCCTGAGTTAGGACTTTGTGTTAGGAACCAGAAGTCTTATCCTGTTAAACCTGCCGGCCATTTATTAACAGGGCTTCTTTTTTGTTTAACGCTGGCTCCGTTCCCGCAGTAAGAAAATACTGTGGACCAAATTTACCTCCTCTAAAAATGACAAAACTCTCTTTAAACTCCTTGCTTTTCCTTACATTTAGGAGTGCAGGTTTGGGCAACGGGAGAATGTTTCTGGGTGCCACGGTTCTATTTTAGGTCTCTGCTATAGCACACCCATTAGAGGACTATTTTCATTCCTTTCAGTCATGTGGAAAATAGTTGTTTATGTGATGTCTTTCTAGCACTTTACTTTGAGGGGTGACCCCAGATGATGACTGCACATGTATTCGCACTAATTCAGAATAACTAATTTTGAATAAAAGCTTATTGTGGGCTCCCCTAGGGCCTGAAGACTTTAGGGTCCTTGGAGATAAAAGGTCAAGTGGTTTTGGCTCCTGCTTTATCCAGCAGAAAAGTGGTTCATATTTCTGTGGGGTCATCTTGTTTTAAACATGATTTCAAGCAGTCGGTTATTTCAGACCATCACCACAGCCCACATCTTGACCCAAGAGTCTGATGTCTGCAAGGTGCTAGGCCAGGTCAGGACGTGTGCTATGTGTTTCATTGCCTTGCTTCTTGGCCAATATGATTTTTTAAAAGCTGTGCTGCAGGATATACAAGCCTCCAGCCTTCCAACTAGCCCCTGAGTACTCTGCCTGCCTGTCCCTCCTCTGGCTGTCACTTCTCCAGAGGATTGGGTAGCAAGACTTTCTGGTTCTCTCTGATCCTCCACCCACAGGACCGGCCTGGCTGATCTCAGTTCTCTTGCCCACAGTGCTGCCCAAGAGGCAGGAGCAGGGAGGGGGCTCCGGGCTCCTGAACAAGGACCTCTGAGGGGAGCCAGTTGCTAGTGCTTTGGTACAAAGTGGGACAGAGTGAACCCCCCATCTCCTACAAAGGAGATAATGAACTTATGGTTTATGGATGGCTGTGTGCTTCCAGGATAATAAATTTCTATCATCTTCTATCTTAGAGTGCTGGACTTTGCACCTTAAGGACTAATTTTCTGCCAAGTAGACTTAACCTTTGGATAGTCACATGGGCAAGTGTCCCCCCAATCGTTGAATGTTAACTTGGGTAGGCAGCCAGGCCACTCAGCTGGCATGTGGAGATGGAGGGATTTTCATCCTAACAGCATTCACATTTGTATTTCTTCCCTCATTATGAAAAATAAGTAAGGTGTGGCTGTCTCTGCTGGGCCTTTTAAACTAGTACAGAGTATAGGACTAGCCAATAGAACTTTTTGTGATAAGAAAATCGTGTTCATTTTCACTGTCCAATATGGTAGCCACAAGCCACAGGTGGCTGCTGAGCACTTGAAATGTAGGTAGTGCAGCTGAGGAACTGAATTTTAAATTTTATTTCATTTTAATTAATTTAAATTTAAATGTACACAACCACATGTGGCTAGTGGCTACTGTATTGGACAGCACAGGACAGATTTATTTGAGAAGTTTATATTATATTGTTTAATTAAGTAGAAAAAACTTTATAGATACACATGATAGCAATTCAAAAGGTACGAAAGGGTATCAGTGAAAAGTCCCCCTTTTGTCTCTCCCCCAGCACCCCCCGTTTCCCTTCCCAGTGCCAGCCATTGTGTATCCATCCAGAAACATTTCACACACATATAAGCATAATGTATATATTTTCTCCCTCATTCTCTCTTTTTTAATGCAAGAGGTGTTATTCTATCCACTTCCTTCTGTTCCTTGCTTTTTTGAGTTAACAATGTGCCTTGGAAGTCATTACCCGTAGGAACAAAAAAGACCACCTCATTATTTTAATGACTTAAATTTAATTTTAATTTGTATTTAATGGCTATCCATAATATTCCTTTGTAAAGCTATGCCATCGTTTACTTGACAGGTCCCCTATAAGTGGGCATGTAAACTATTTCCAATCTTTCGCCATTATAAATAATATTGTTATAAATAACCATGCACAAATGTTTTCACACATGTTCAGATATAAACATGGATAAATTCCTAGAAGAAGAAAACAAGATTGTTAGGTCAAGGGTATGTGCATCTTACATACCCACAGATTTTGCCAAATTGCCATCTGTAGAGTTTCTTGATGAGAATGTAAATTGGTACATTGTGTGAGAGCGTCTATTTCTCCATAGCCTCAGCAACAGTCTGTTATTAAACTTTTTGTTCTTTGCCAGTTTGATCAATAAAGCTCACCATCACCCTGTAGATGCAATTCGCATATCTTACTGTAAATGAGACTGAGCATCTTTTTATATGTCTAAGAATCATTTGTATTTCCTTTCTGGTAAATTTTCTCTTCAGGTCATTTGCTCATTTTTTTACTAGATTTTGTCATTCTTTTTCTCGATTTGTAGGAGCCCTTTATACATTAGGAAATTAATCTGTTGCCTCTGAAATGTACTGATACATTTTAATCTTGTTTATGATATCTCTTTCCATGTGGACATTTAAAAACATTTTTATGCAATCAACTTATTATTCCTTTTTTTTATGGCCTCTGGGTTTTATATCTTACTTAGAAAACCCTTACCCATGGAGATATTTTAAAACAGAGTTATGTTTTTTCCTAGAACTTTCCTGGTTTTATTTTTTATGTTTAACTCTTTGACCCATCTGAAACAATTCAGGGGTTTTGTTGATTACATTTTCTTTGCCCATGTCCTCACTCTCCTGTGCCGGGCCTTTTCTCCAGTACCTCTCTGCCTTGGCTCAGCCCTGTTTTTGAGCAGCACGGCCCGCTGTTCGCTCATCAGTCTAGTAGCAGTGTTATCCTCATCTGCCCATGGGGTGCTGCCTCTCTTCCCTTCCTTTCTGAATACGTTTAGGTAGACCCTAATCCCGGATGCAGAAGCAGAGCTTTACATCATTCTTTGAGGTTCTTAGTTAGGTTTGTGGTCCCCAGAACCCCATGTCAGCAGAGCATGCCTGTCTCCCCTTGTTGTGTTTCTCACCTGTGCAGCCTGGCTGTCATGTAGCACACTCATGCTTGACCTTTCGCCAGATTTCCTCTGTGACCTCCTTCAACCCTTCTTAGGCCTGGCTCTTTATTTGAGATGCCCTGCCCTTTGTGCATGTTTGCTTAGTCGGGGGAGGTGACCTGAACAAGAGGCAGACTATAAAAGCCACAGGATAATTGTACTTTGCCTGTGCTAAGAAGGAGAGTGCTCCACCTATGCCCAAGCCAGCAGTTGGGCCAGCTGTTAGCACTTCATTCATATTCCCTAATATGATTTAATGCTTTGTCATCTTATTTCTTGTGATTGCAGAATCCCATTTTCAGCTTCTGCCAGAACCAGTAGCAGTTGGGAAAGAAGGCTGTGCTCTTTGAAGAGTGAGTATGGATTTTTTAACACCATAGTTTACCCCAAAGAAGGCAGCCCTTAACAAGACTGGGCTGGCCTCTGTAAGCTCTCTCCCATCCCCTCTGCAAGCCAACCTGCGGTGGGGGATTTCTCTGGTTCAGTAGGTCCAGTGGGAAGGGATTGGGCACCTTTTCAAAGGTTTTCATAGCTCCAATATGTACCCCAAAAGCCCCTTACAAACAATTCTGAAAGATTGTGCCAGGAACAGGACTCTGAGTTTGCAGGAAGTCTAGAGAGTTATGGGCCTACAAAGACTACGATGCTTTCCTAGGGAATGTGACACTTGAGCCGGCCCTGAAGGCAGAGAGTAGTTCATTGGGCAGATGGGATGTGAAAGTGCTCCATGTGAAGGGGACAGCATGAGGAAAGACAGAGCATGAGGCTCTGCAGGGCTTGCATGAGGGCAGGGAGATGGTTACTTGGGATGCAGACGTGGGAATCAGGACCAGAAAGTTGCGTTGGGACTATATGGAGTGATCAGAGTTCACATTTTATTTGGTGGACATTAGACTAGTGTGGCTTAATTCCTGATGTGAACTGAGAAGATTCCTCCAACAGGTGGTGAAAGGACTATGGGGTGAAAGGGCAGCCTTTACAGAAATGGGAGCAAGAGGAAATGAGGACCTGGACCCAGTGCAGTGGCTGAGGGAGCTATGGTCTGATTCATACAAAGTCCCACACCTGGTGGAAAGTTTTCTTCCCACCCAACATTCCTAGTAAATGTTAAACCAAACTGGCCTAAGGGATTGGTTGCAAGAGGCTTTCAGGAATATAAACCCCATAAAGCTGTGCTGTCCAGTGTGGTAGTTCCTATCTGCATGTGACTGTTGAGCACTTGAAATGTCCCTGGTGTGACCGAAAAACAGAATTTTGAATTTTCTTTAGTTTTAATTAATTTAAATTTAAATCACCATGTATCAGGCGGCACACTTGGTCTAGACTTGAACACATTGACTCCTCCTGTGCTGATCCCTCTCCACCGTTGTGTAACAAGACTGGTGAGCAGGTGGGGAGAGTGAAAGATACATTGGTGTCTGGGAGGCTTGACTAATAGGCATACTGTCAGCAGAAATCAATGGGTCAGGAGAAATGGGGCAGCAGTGTAGGGCCTTTGGGTCATGGGGGTGGTTAGCAGGCTATTGGAAAAGTCTGGAAGGAGGTCCTGTTAGGTATATTGATTTTCAAATCCCCTGCAGGAGGGAGTGGTAGAGGATGGTGGCGAGGAGAGAGTAAAGAGGCATCGTGGGAATATGCAGGGGACAGAATGAGGAGAGTATCATGGGACTCATGCTAGGTGTGCCCACAGCCATGACTTGGTTCAACAGCTGGGCTGCTGGAGCTGCAAAGTGCAGAGAAGGAATGGGCTCAGCCAGAGTGAGGGGGGACACTATGGCCAGGACGGCAGAGGCGAGCTCCTCCTGGGCAGTAATCTTGGGGACTGTGCCACGCTTGCAGTGATGGCCGGACAAGCTTAACTGCTTACTTGGAAATTTCAGTGTGATTTTCCTCTGTGATGGAGATGATGTATGTGACAAGGAGTTAAAATGGCCCATTTCTCAAATTATTCTGTCTCATTCATCCTGGATGAGATTCCACACAAGAGAATCTTTTCTTCTGTGTGTATTTTGTAGCCATTGATCATTAGTGATAGTTTCCAGGAATCAGTTTCTTTTTACAAGAACTTAGTTTCAGAGATCATTGTAGGGTAGATGCAACACTATTTAACAGCTAGGGTATTACACTCAGATTTCAAGAACGTAGTGTCTTCCTAGTTGTGGAAAGAAACTTGTAGAAAGGAAACATCATGGGAAGAATTTTCATATTGTGGAGTTAAAGAAAAATAATTACAAGCAGCACTGGATAGTTTTAAAAATACACCAGCAGGGCCAACCCCGTGGCGCACTCGGGAGAGTGTGGCGCTGGGAGTGCAGCGACGCTCCCGCCGCGGGTTCAGATCCTATATAGGGATGGCCGGTGCGCTCACTGGCTGAGCGCGGTGTGGGTGACACCACACCAAGGGTTGCGATCCCCTTACTGGTCACGAAAAAGACAAAAAAAATACACCAGCAGGAATAAGGTAATAAACCAACTGGTGACTTATAAAGTTGTTAACATGTAACTTGCTGTTAAAACAGTTCTAAAGAAGTGCAAAAATGTAAATAGGGACATTGAACTCTGTGCCTGTGTGTAACTGATACACATTAATATCCACTACAGAAAGCATCAAGAGATGGCAAAGGTGGCACGAACTGGGGAGACCTATAGGATTACTTTGAAATTCAGGTCATGCCACTTACCAGACGGTGACCTCGCGCATGTTTATTAACTTCTTAAAGCTTCAGTTTTTCTATTTTTAAAATGGGGAAATGCTTCCTATTTCATAATGTTGTGAGAGATAAAATGAGAAGATGCATATGAACTGCCTAGAGGTGACCTGGCCTAGAGTTACTCAGTAGATGGTGGCCATCGCTTTTATGTCTTTGGTTATGGTGGGGGTGGTCATGCTCATCACTGTTGTTGCTGTTGTTAGTATGATAATCATCTTTATTTTGGAGGGACCAGGACTGGAGTGTGTCAAATTTGATGGAATGTAGGTAGATGCCTAGAAGAAAGTCAAGATTCTATGAAAGTGCTTTACATGCTATTTATTCTTGGATTTTGCTTTATACCCTGAAGAATAAAGTATTGGAACTCAAGATCCTCAGTTTTCAAAATCAGTGAGAACATTAAAGGAGAATTGTGAAACGTTCTGCCCTACTCCTAACCCCAGATTAAACTCGATTTCCTTGATGCAATGTTTATCTGGACCCACTAATGCATCCCCTATCCAATTAATCCTTGCCCTTTGTGCAGAGGTAAAGGCCCACGAATGCATGGCTTGGGTGTTAACAAGTGGCAGAGGAGACTGAGTGCCAAGCTCCGGCCTGGGTCGTGAGAGTGTGTTGCCCTCCCTGGTGCCAGCACTCCTTCCTGATGTTACCTTGCTTCACACTGCTGCAGGGCCACTGAAATCACCCCCTTTAACCCTGGGGTGCCTTACTGTACACAACAGATATGTAAAATGAGTGTGTTTTTCAGTTTATTCAGGCAAGCAATAAACATTATCAAACACCAGATATTTGTCAGATACTGTTTTAGGTTCTGGAAAATATGACAGGGAACAGGGTTATTATGGGGGAAACTAAATTGTCTGGCATAATTTCAGAAATGTTTTAAGTTATTAAAGTAGGAAAGAGTAGAAGAATTGATTTATTTGAATTTTCTTGTTGAGTAGATGAAGGGACCAAGGTCTCCCAGCTGAAGAGCCCAGTTTGGAGAGAGCCAGCTGGATGTCCCAACCCCTAGCCCAGTGCCCACCATCCCACGAATCTGCCCCTCAGTGGCAGCCATCCCATACCACCATCACAATTTTTGGCAACTCCACGTATTGCCTACTTAGCATTTTTCTTTAAATTGACTTCTTTTAATTTAAATTTATTTTTATTAGCATATTCATTGTTACAAATCATACTTATACTTTATGCCCCTTATCAATCTCTCCCCATCTCTCTCCCCCCTCTAATAACCATAGATCTGTTCTCTCCTTCTGATAGATTGTTTCTCTGTTGATTTGTTGCTTAGATAATCTGTCCAGTACTGAGACAGGTGTGTTCAGGTCCCCCAACTATTATCATATAGAATATGCTTCTTCTATTACTCTGGAGTGTGCTTTGTGGAGAGACAGGACCTCTTCTTTTTCTTTTGGTCTCTGCTGGTGACTGTCCTTGTGTCAGTGAGGTCGAGTGTCTGGTGTGCCATCTGTGCAGTGGCTGTGCCTAATGCTATGGAAACTAGCCGCTTTTGCAGCAGTCGTGGCAATTGTGGTGACTATTGTGGGCTAACTGCATGGAAATGGTGTTTTTGGTGTGCTCTTTACTTGGTTGCAGCTGGGTTCGCTTCTCCCAACTCCATACCTCAGGACCCCAGCGGGGCCCTGGGGTGGTGGTGGTGTGCCTGGCTGCAGCTGGGTTGGGCTTCCCCTGGCACCATGCATCAGGACCCCAGCAGCAGCATGCCTGGTTGTGGCTGGGCTTGGCTGAGGCTATTCTTTTGGGTTAAGTTCCTGCATTAGGCCCCAAAAGACTGGACTAAAAAATCAAAATGGAGTCCCCCCTGCTAAGTTCCATGTCACCAAACGTAAACGAAGTTGTGGTCAGGAGATCAATTTAGACTTATTTTTAAAATTAATTTTCATCCCTGCCATAAACTGAAAGTATCATAAAAATAAATGAAAATAAACAATGTTATTAACTGGCTAGATACTGTTGCCTGCAAGAGGCCCAAGGGTTAGAGAGCTGTTTAACACCATACTGAGAGTTTCTCTTTGACCTAAGCAGGACTGAAAAAGAACTGAAAAGAGATGACTTTCTTGGTATGTATATCAGTGTTACCTAATGGTGTGCACCCCCTAAAGCATTACTTAATATTCTTCTACTCCCTAAAGTCATCTTGTAAACTATCAGTTGCATGGACCCCATGTTTTGGGAAACTCCGTGTTACACCCCATAGTTGATTTTCGTATTTTCGGTCATTGGTGTTGCTTGGTTCACAAGGCTTCAGATTTTTTTGTTTCCAGCTTCCCCCCTGGGTACATAGAGTATTCTATAAATAAACACAAGTAGGACAGGGAGCTGTCTTTTTTAAAGGAAAGCTGAGGCAAGTCCCTTATAAAATGAAGGATGTTGCAGAGACAGGAATAATTATGTCCTCTTTGTACAGAAAACTGAGAAAGCATTGCTGTTTCTTCATCTAGTGCCTGGCACTATTTGACCTTGTCAGGAAAAATGTGCAGGGTTCTCTGTAATAGGTCCAAGCCTTACTAAACTGATCATGCGCTACAAAAGCTCCTTACCGAAGACTTAATTCTGCCTCTAAATAGAAGATGCAGCCAGATGAAACCTTCCCTGTAACTAACTGTGACATCCATGGCAGACACTGATAAATCAGTGAGGTTTCTTTTTGATGATCATACCTTCAGTTCAGGGCTACCATCTCCAGTGTCAGTCTGTGATATATATGGCTTTGGGCATAAAATGTTCTAATTCCTAGTCTGAAGGAACATCATGTAATTAACTTCCTGCTGCTCGGGAATTAGAATTCACAGTGGACCCCAGCAGTTTCTTAGGACTGTGTGTGATGTGAAAAAGTCTTCTTGAAACTGACAGTTCCCATCGTCATCAACTCTTTTGAGATCCACGATGTTCAAACATATTTGTACAAGGTCTCTTCACTCTGTGATTAATTTACTTACACTTGGAAAGTGAGGTCTTTTGGCAGTGTGAATTGTACCCGGCATTAAACAGGTGACTGCTCCAGGGAGTTTTATAATTAATAGAAGAGGAAAAATGTCAGGTCTCTTAAAGCATAATTGGGAATGGTTGTTCCTAAAACAAATTAAACCGGATTGAGCACATTTTGTAATGTTGTTTTTCATTAATTCATTTGTACCTTATTTGTGTCCAGTGTTATATGAGGCCCTGAGAAAGAACATATATTGATTGTCCTCAAGGAGCTCTGGCTATAAAAAGAGGAACAGGCCAGTGATTTAAGTGTGTTGGGAAAAGTGCTTAAGTGTCCAGAAACTGAGAGAGCAGTTGAATCCTAACCTAAAATAGTGTTTATGCCCCAGGAAGGCAGCAGCTTTCATCACTGTAAACTCGGGACTATACCCTAATAGAGTGTGTGGGTATCAATGAAAATTACTATCTAATCCACCTGTACATGCATTTGTCTTTCCCTCTAGACTGTGAGGCCAAACTGTCTTGACAAAACATCTAAATGGAGACATCACGTCTTCATGGAGAAATTAGGGATGATAAGTTTGGGTACCTAATAGCAAAGAGGTTACAAAGATTTAGGAAAGGACATTTGAAAAAATGAGACAAAGTGGAGCTTGGTGCACAGGGAGTGGGACTGAGCCAGAAACCTGTTTTGTAATCATGACTCTATCAGCTGGGTGACTTTGGACAACTTACTTAACCTCTCTGAGCCCCAGTTTCCTCAGCTTATAAAACAGAGGATAAAACACCCACCTTGCCTATTTGACAGCCCTGATGTGCTATATCAAGGGTTGGCAAATTACAGCCTGCAGGCAAAATTCAGTCTACAACCTATTTTTGTAAATAAAATTTTATTGGATCACAGTCCAATCCATTCATTACATGTCATCTATGGCTGCCTTCTCACTATGGTGGCAGATTGAGTAGTTGCATGAGAGACTCTATGGCCCTCAGTGCTACAATATTTATCATCTGGGCCTTTACAGAAGAAGTTTGCTAACCCTTGTGCTTGGGGTTGTGAGATCATGCTATGCTGTTGTGAATTTGTTATTAAATTGAAGTAAGTATCAGTTGGCAGATATATGGGAGACATCTCTCCATTTCACAGGAACTATAAGGAAAGCCATGATTTGCTAGATGTTAGTGCTTTTTCATGAAGAAGTCTATTTTGTGTTTGGTGAAGCCTGCACACTTAACACAGGTGGCTGGGAATCAAGGCAGGGGTCATCCCCAGCTTACACGTCCTTGCAGGAATTGTTTTCTGTATTGTGGAGAAAGATGGGACTTGAAATATTTTTCATTTTAAGCTGGAATGAACCATGTTGTGAGCTCATGAGAAAGGACTGGGCAGGGGCTTCTGATTCAACCATGATTTCTAACGTGCCTATTATATGTCAGGCCCTTGTCTTGGTGCTGGGGACAGCAAGTCTTCTCCCTCATGGAGCCCACATTCTAGTCTTCACATGTGTCTGTTAAATCTTTAGGAAGACAGAAAGTACACTGAAAACCAACTTCTTGGCTTATTTCCCTGCTCTTCCCAACTTTTTATTGTGTATTGTGTATTTTTGAATAGGTTATATACATTTACATGATACATAACTCAAAAGATTTAAAAAGTGAAAAGCAAATCACCTCTCTGTCTTTGACACCCAGCTCTCTAGCTCCCTTCCTTAGATGCAATCTCTATTCCCATTTTCTTGTACATCCTTCCAGCAATACTCTATGTGTATACAAGCATTCGTGTGCACATGTATATTTTTTTCATTTATTTCTTTAAGTTTCTTTGCCCTTCCTATTTTTTATTTTTAAAAATTGCAAGCCTACAGGAAAGTTGAAAGGATAATACCATGTAAACTTCACCTGGACTCCCCAGTGGTTAGCATTTCACCATATTTTCTTTGTTTTCTCTTCTCTACCCCCACCAACACACACATACACATACACATATTCATTTTTCTCTCCTGACCCTTTATTTTTTTATTTCTTTTTTTTTTTTAAAAGATGACCGCTAAGGGGATCTTAACCCTTGTTGTCAGCACCACGCTCACCCAGTGAGCTAATCGGCCATCCCTACATGGGATCCGAACCCATGGCCTTGGTGTTATCAGCATCACACTCTCCCAAGTGAGCCATGGGCCAGCCCTCTCCTGACACTTTAAAAGTGAGTAGCAGATGATATTATAGTTCACCCCTTAAAGCTTCAGCAGGCATCTCCTAAGAACAAGAGCATTCTCCTACATACACATGTAACCATAATTTTATTATCAAACTCAAGAATGGTATTACTGATACAATAATATTATCTAATATCAGTCCTTACTGAGATTTCCCCAATTGTCCCAACGATGTCCTTTATAGTTTTTTTTTTTTTTAATCCATGATCCTCATAGAATTCCTTATTACATTTAGTTGTCATGTCTATTTAGTTTTTTAAAGCGCTTCCCTAGTTTTGTTTCCTCCTGATCCTTACCCTCATTCTTGGTCCTTCACTTTTCTTCGCCTTTTCTCTGGAGACAGACTTTCAATGAGTTTCAATACCATCATGGTCTTCAGCCCCTGCAGGTGTCAGCCAGCCTTAAGGAGCAGGATGGATCTCGATGTGGTTAACATGTTTGTGATCGCGGGCGGGACGCTGGCTATCCCAATCCTGGCATTTGTAGCCTCCTTTCTCCTGTGGCCTTCGGCGCTAATAAGAATCTATTATTGGTAAGTTAATTTTACAATTGGCTTTTCAAGAGTATCATAATATTGTCATCGTCTCTGCTTGTCCTTTTTGTTGTTGTTCAACATTTTATCATGAAACATTTCAAACATACAGATAAATGGAAAGACACTCTTGAATTTTTGAAGTGTTCTTGAAGAATTGGTGGTAGCTTATCGCCAAGTAAATTCTTTCAGGTTTCTGATAGCATCTTTCCCCTCGAGGCCACCCACACTCCCAAAGTCACTGATTCTGTCCTCAGGCAAGGATTGTGCATGTTTATGGGAACTCCTTTGACGTTTTCTTTTTTTTCCCTTTGGTATTTTATTGCTCTTTAGATTCTGACCCTGTGACATCCTCAGAAGTGTGGGGACCATTGAGATAGAATGTGTAGGACAGAATGCTACAGAGTCATTCTGGAAGTGTTCATGAGTAAAGTGACAGAAAGAAAAAGAAGCTTCCAAACTTTCTGTCATTTTTGTACCACCTTCATGATTCTTGCCCTATCTGCAGAACACCTATACTTTTCTTTAGAGTGAGTCACTTTTTTTTTTAAACCTTAAGTCAATTTATTTAAAAAGTGATATAAATATCACTAACTGAAGTGGAAAGTTTGCCATACTTGTCATAAATAGTAAATTAATATAAAAAAGTAAAAATAAACACAATGACATTAAACAATTTTATTAAATTCTAGCTTAGATACTGTTCCCTACCAAAGGCTCTGAGTCTCCATTCTCTTTGCTACAAAGTATGAGAGGCATGAGCCATGGTAGCAGCCCTGAACAGAGCCTTTCTCCTTGACGGAATCAGGAGGTTGACAGTTGAAAAGAAAGTGACTTTCTCATGATGGTCTTCATTGACTTTTCTTGTTGCTGTCCATTTACAAATGAAATCACTGCTCCCACCCCCATTGCATCCCATGGTGAAGGCAATACTGTAATAGACCTGGTTCCTCTCTAAGCCCATTGAGATGTAACTGGGGCTTTGGGAAGTTAGAACTTGTGTACACAGAAAGAAGAATGCAGGGAGGTTGTTGTGCCCTTTATGTGCCCTCCTTTCTGGCTTCCTTTTGTTTCACCAGAGTGTGGAATTTTCTGCTTGCCAGCCAGGCTCTAATCCTTGAAAAGGAGCTAATTGAACAGAAGGGAGCTTTTCATCTTTCACTCTTGTTCTGGAGTCGGGGGTGGGGGAGTAGTGACCCCTTCAGAGGGTCACCGGGGAAACACCTCTGCATTGGCAAAGCTGAGATTCCAGCTGCTTAAATGCCTTGCAGTGCAGGTAGCAGGAGTTCTGTGCTTTGGGGCCACGGCTCCTGGGTGGCCCCAGACGTGGAGAGGCCAGAGCTGTGGGCCCGCCACTCCCACAGCCCTAGTGAGGCACTGTGGAGCTCCACACACCAACACCATTTTTATTAAGTCAAATTGAAGCAGAGAATACAGTTCACTGATGGGGCCCGTAACCATGGATATGGCTGCATACAGAGGTGTGATTATATAAAGGCTAATTATGCCTACCTCATGCAGAAACCAGCATCAATGCTGCACGGTCCCCCAACCCCCAAGTTCCTTGAGCTGTCGAGGAGAAGGTTTTTCAGAGTCAGGGTTTGAGAGTAATTTTGATATTTGATTTTTAAAGAGAAGAATATCTCCATTGCAAATTATTTACTTTTTAAATTAAGTTAAAATTCACAAAACATAAAATTCACCATTTTAAAAGTGTACAATATGGTAGTTTTAATATATTCACAATTTTGTACAACTATTGCTACTATCTAATTCCAAAATATTTCCATCTCCTCAAAGGAACACCCATACCTGCTAGCAGTCTCTCCCAGTTTCCCCTTCCCTTCATTCCCTGGCAACCACTAATCTACTTTCTGTCTCTTTGGATTTGCCTATTATGTACATTTCATGTAAATGGGGTCATACAGTTTGTGACCTTGGCGTCTGGCTGCTTTTGCTTACCATGATGTTTATAAGGTTCATCCATGTTGTAGCATGTATCAGTACTTCATTCATTGTTATACCTGAATAATATTCCATTGCTGTTATACCACATTTTGTTTATCCATTCATCTGTTGATGGACATGGGTTATTTCCACCTTTTGGCTATTACGATTAGTGCTAAATAGCAAATAATACCAAACACGCACACACAAACACAGGCCCACACATTCAGAGTTTTCAGTCCCTTATTAATTGAAAGTACAGATGCATGTGATCTTAAAGCCTGCCCATGCTTGTCACCCAGCTCAGAGCTGTGGCTGAGGACAAACACAATGCTCTCTATTCTGTGAACTGAGGCACTCAGTCTAAGAAGAAAACCCAGCTGGTTGGAGAGGATGAAAATCCTAGAGAACCTTTCAGATCATGCCAGGTGGCATTGTGACATGGAGGATTATGGTTATAGTAATAGAACTCACAATGCCATTGCAGAGAGCTTCAGAAGTCCTGTGAGTGGTTTCCCCCACCCTACTGAAATGCACAGCCTGTTTGCTCCAAATTGCCTTACTGCAAGTGACATTTCACAGTGGTTGTCATGGGATGAGCAGCTTTACCACGAGCCTTAACCACAGCTATTCCTCCAAAGGCCTTCATTTGCGTGGCTACCTATAATGACCATCAGTGGTGTCACCTTGCAGACCTGAGTAGGTGAGGTTGATTTTCTGGATTGCTACACAAACAGGAACAGAAGGCAGAAGAGGTAGCTTGGCATTTAATCCTCCCCCGCCGCCCTGCCATATGGGCGTAAGGATTTGGTGAAATCATCACATTGTGTTCTCTCTGGGACTTCCCTGTGGGATCTTCTCAGCTCCTTAGGGAACAGGAACAGGCGTCCCTGATAGGCCACAGCCAGACTTCAGAGCAGCTCTCTCTGGGTCTAAGTGTCTTTGGAACATGGCCAGCCTGTTTCCACAGCAACCTGGACCATGGTTGCTCTTGCAGGAGACACCAAATGCTTTCCCGTGAGTCAGCAGAGAGCCGCAACTGGAGACCTGTGGATGACATCAGGGGAAGCTCTGTTTTTCATTGTAGTATCAAGACCATTCACAATATGAAAAAGACTGAGATTTTCTAAGATTTTGGTTTTTCCAAAGAAACTCAGTTGTGAACTTAAGAAATCATAGCAAATAATTCACTTATATAAATATGAGTGAAAAAGGGATAAGAATTAGAAAAGAAGAAATAAAACCGACATTGTTTGCAGATGACATGACTGTGTACATAGAAAATCTGAAAGAATCTATAGATAATTTGTTAGAATTAATAAGTAAATTTGGCAGGGTTGCTGAATACAAGGCCAGTAAACAAAACCAATTGTATTCCTATATACCAGCAACAAACAAATAGAAAATGAAAAAATGCTACCCTGAGGAGAGAACCCAGCTGAGCTCACTTCTGATCTGCAGAACTGTGAGCTAGTAAGTGGTGGTGGTTTTAACCTGCTAATCTTGTAGTGATTTGTTTTGCAGAAACAGAAAATGAATACAACCCCATCTACAACCTCACAAAAGTCAAATCCAGGTGGATGTAGATCTAAATGTGAAAGGTGAAACATCAGTGTCGCGCCCGTACCGGACCGGGACCGGCCATGGGATCGCAACCCTCGGTGTTGCTCCTGCCCCTCGCTCAGCCAGTGAGCGGCCAGTCTGTATGTGGGATCCGAACCCTCGGCGGGAGCGCCACCACGCTTCCCAAGCAGCGCACTATAGCAGTGCGCCACCGGGCCGGCCCGAAAATGAAAAATTTTAATAATACCATTTACCATAGTATCAACAAATGTAAATAAAACACCTAAAAATAAATCTGAAGAACAACGTGGAAGACCTCTACACAGAAAACTACAAAGCATTTGTGAGAGAAATTTTAAAGTCCTAAATTAATGGAGGATAGACTGTATTTGTGGGTAAGAAGACTCAGTAGTAAGGTGTCAGATTTCCCTACAATATACCCATTTGAAATCTAAGCAGGTTTTATTGATGGGATTCAGTAAGTTGATTCTTACATTTTTAAGGGAAAGCAAAGGGCCAGTTAAGCAAGACAGTCTTGAAGGAGAACATAGCTAGATGATTTACACTTCCAGCTATAAGACTAATTATAAAATTGAAGTAAATCAAGTCAGCATGCATTTGGCACTGAGAAGGACAAATAGACCAGTGGAACATGAGAGTCCAGTAACAGATGCAGAGAGATACAGTCTCTTGATTTATGGCAAAGCCAGTACTGCTCTGCAGTGGGAAAGGAGACTGGGTTAATTAGATATCCACCTGGAAAAAGCTTAATCTTGACTCCTTTGGTAGGCAGAATTACTAAAATGACCCCACAGAGATGTCAATCCCTAAGACCTGTGACTCTGATGATATATTACTCCCATGATTATGTTATGTCACATACAGTTCTTATGTTATATACAGTTGACCTTGTGATGGGGAGATTATCCACATGGGCCTGATCTAATCCCATTAGCCCTTAAAACTGGAGGGTTTGGAAGCTTGAGAAAGAGTGCTGTTGCTAGTTTGAAGTTGGAGAAGATCCATGTGAGAAGGAAAGCAGGTGGCTTCTAGGTAGCAGAGTCCCCAGTTGACAGCCAGTGAGGAAAAAAGGACCTCAGTCCTACAACCAAAAGGAATTGAATTGCCAACAGCCTGAATGGGCTTAGAAACTGAAGCTTTCCCTGAGCTTCCAGACACAAACTAGCCTAGCTGATGCCTTGATTTCAACCTTGTGCTACCCTGAGGAGAGAACCCAGCTGAGCTCACTTCTGATCTGCAGAACTGTGAGCTAGTAAGTGGTGGTGGTTTTAACCTGCTAATCTTGTAGTGATTTGTTTTGCAGAAACAGAAAATGAATACAACCCCATCTACAACCTCACAAAAGTCAAATCCAGGTGGATGTAGATCTAAATGTGAAAGGTGAAACAGTAAAGGTTTTAGAAGAAAATGTAAAAACATATTTTCTTGATCTAAGGATAGGCAGAGATTTCAGAAACATGATGCAAAAG